TTGATTGATTTATTACTATTACTATAGCTACCATATTATATTATGATACTATATTAACAACATATTGTTGTATGTGTGTTACCCTAATAGATTGATTTTAATATGGTAGTAGCTTAAATAATAATAGTAATAATATGAATAAACGGTGATATTCGTTGGTGTCTATACTTTATCCAAGTTATCGCCTAACCGTCGATAACAATGAAGATAAAGCGATAGCTTAATTAATTTTATCATTTAATTAAGTAGACTTAATAAGCATTTATGCTAGATATGCTACCAACAAAAAAAAAAAAAAAAACATACACAAATTATATATATTATAGTAATAAATTTTTAACTCTTAGCGGTGGATCACTTGGCTCATGGATCGATGAAGAACGCAGCTAGCTGCGATAAATAGTGCGAATTGCAGACGCATTGAGCACAAAGATTTCGAATGCACATTGCACCATTGGGTTGATTCCCGATGGTACGTCTGGTTGAGGGTCAATTAAAAGTAATAATTGTATTTGCATTGATTTATATTTATTTATTATTATCAAATAATTTTTGTTTGTTTGTTAAAAGATTATTTGATGATGATGAATGAAAAAAGATGATTGAATCAATGATTAGATACAAAAATGCATCAGGTGATTTGTAACAGAGAATGAGAATGAAAAAATCTCAAAATAAATCCCCTGATAAGTAATAGATATGAGTAATATTTTTACCATATTTAACATATTGAATATATATGTATATATATATATATATATATATATATATATATATATATATATATATATAATCTTTCATGAATAATTATTTATAAATAATAAAGAAAGATTATAATTATTCATTTATTATGCATTGATTTACTATATTGTTTGTTTGTTTGTTTCGTTGTTAAATGTTTCAAATTAAAATGCAAGTTATATTTGAAACATTAAAATAAACAAATAAATAGAGTAAAAAATTAGCATATATATGTGAATGATAATTTCAATATGTTTTATATCATTTCTTTGACCTCAACTCAGTCGTGATTACCCGCTGAATTTAAGCATATAACTAAGCGGAGGAAAAGAAACTAACGAGGATTTCCCTAGTAACGGCGAGTGAAAAGGAAAAAGCCCAACGCTGAATCCAATAGATATTATATGGCTATATGGAAATGTAGCGTATAGGTATAACTATCCGTAACATATTTTTACACCCAAAGTCCCCTTGAGCGGGGCTACAGTCCATAGAAGGTGCTAGACCTGTACGGGTGAAAAAGTTACGGTAGGTTATTCCTTGGAGTCGGGTTGTTTGAGATTGCAGCCCAAAGAGGGTGGTAAACCTCATCTAAGGCTAAATACGACCATGAGACCGATAGCAAACAAGTACCGTGAGGGAAAGTTGCAAAGAACTTTGAAGAGAGAGTTCAAGAGGGCGTGAAACCGCTGAGATGGAAACGGATAGAGTTAACGAAACTTATCGGTATTCAACCAATTAATTTAGCAATCTTAATTCATTTCATTATTCATTAATAATTTTTTTTTTATTAATGAATAAAATGATATTAATGCTAAATTAGCAATATATGCATAGATTGGTGTATTTACCGATGGTATGCATCGAGAACTTCATTTTAGCATATTAATACAAGTTAATTTAGTGGACCAATTATTTCAATTGATAATTGGAATCCTAAATTATGTTGAAATATGTCTTAGATGAAGTTTTTTTTTTTTTCCCATATATGTAACTTTCACTTGAAATAATAGTGACATGTATCGATTATAATTTTGCTTATTATTATTTTACATGTGGTCGCATGCGACTTTATCGGTAAAAATAATTGGTAATATTATAATATTGTATGCAATAAAGTTACATCTCGATGTGAACGTTAATCACCTATCTGACCCGTCTTGAAACACGGACCAAGGAGTCTAGCATATACGCAAGTTATTGGGTAGTAAACCTAATTTAAAAGATAAAAAGCATAATGAAAGTAAAGATTATCTTTGGTATAATTGATATGTGATCTATATATATATATATATATATATATATGTATATGTAGCGTAACATAACCCCGTTCATGTTGCATGCAATAGGGCGGAGGTAGAGCGTATATGCTGGGACCCGAAAGATGGTGAACTATACCTGAGCAGGATGAAGCCAGAGGAAACTCTGGTGAAGGTCCGAAGCGATTCTGACGTGCAAATCGATCGTCTGACTTTGGTATAGGGGCGAAAGACTAATCGAACTATCTAGTAGCTGGTTCCCTCTGAAGTTTCCCTCAGGATAGCTGGAGTACGTTAAATAAAGCAGTTATATTCGGTAAAGCGAATGATTAGAGGAATTGTGGGACGAAACGTCTTCAACCTATTCTCAAACTTTCAATGAGTATGACGTCTTGCTTGCTTAAATTTTTTATGAAGCATAGACATTGAATGTGTACTCCAAGTGGGCCATTTTTGGTAAGCAGAACTGGCGCTGTGGGATGAACCAAACGTTGAGTTAA